CCCCCACTGAATGATTACTCTCCTATAAAAGCCAGAATGTGAATAGTCTTTGCAGGGTCTTGCCAAKGTCTTCAGGGTTTTATTAAGAATGCAGTGGGCTCCCCATTGCATGTGATAGACCTTAATAAGTCTATGAGGGTTTTGAGCATGCACAAAATTTCCATAGAGAGGTCATGGTGGTTTATGATGTGGTGGTAGCGTACTAGGGTCTGGATGTAGCATGGGTGTGGGTGGGGAGCACATGTTCTTGTGGTCCCTGTTTGATAAGTTATTCGGTTGGGGATAACAGTAAGTGTCCTCTCAAAATATTTCCTCAATACAAGCATCTTTTATCATCTTCCTTAGTTGGCTCACGGTTTGATTTGCGGCTTTCTTTGTTATGAATTGATACACACGATGCTGTAGGTGTGTGGGTTGAGCCCAGTCAGCCACAGGAAGACCTTGGCAGACCCTCATGAACCAGTACAGATGCTAAAATTCACACAATCACACAAACCTCATGGTCAAACAAGCAGAAAGTGAAGCACAAATTTAGTTTTAAAACCAACTCTGTGCACAAGAAAAGGGTCCTGAAAGAATCAAAAGGTTTGATGAATGAAATGTCTGAAGACATTATTCTTTATTCCAAATGTTAATTTCTCCACAGTGTCTAAACTAGACCAATTGCTTTGTTGGTGTGACCCAAGTCAGTCAAGTCATTGTTAACCCACTCTCAACAACAACTTTATCAGTGTGCCACCAAAAAGCCTCCAAAAAGATGGATGCTAAAAAGGATAAAGAGTGAAATAAAGCCACAACACGACATGATTGACTGAATGCTGATGAGGGTGCAACAAAGGTTTGATGAGGCGGTGTACTTTCAGTTGGGTTATGTTTGTCTTCTCATCACGTCTGCTGGTTTAGCATTTGTTAATTAACATTTTTATTCAATAGGACATTTTTCAAATATCAACTTAAAAATGTGTTAAGCCTTTTAGGGTAAGCTAATGTCGACATTTTATTATAAAACTCAAAAGCATGACAGCATAATTATCCCTCCATCATCTGTATTCTCAATACCTCACAAAGTCAAACACCAGACAGGCATTCTGGCGGTCACAAAATACTAAGCTCTCTTCCGCGGCTCATTGCAAGCTTGATGTTTCTTTGATGACAACACCCGTTTGAACATCACATAACGACTCTGCATTTCCATGCTGCCTGGAAAACACGGCTCACTACTACCAACCTCACATTCAACTGAAGCAAATSAAACAAACAATAAATCAATCTACAGCTCGAAACGTTCTGATTTTCTGCCGATTGCCATCATTGGTGTGGTTTATTTGCACACTGAGATTAAAAGCAGGAACAAGTAAACGCCTGTGCTGCTGATGTCACTGAGTTGTTGTGGTGAAAACTGTCCTCTCCCTCTAATGAATCCTATTAGAAAATAATCAAGCTGAACGTATCACAATGCACCTGGTGGTCGAGCCTTGGCTCGGTCGGGCCAAGTCCGAAAGGACAACAGGAGTCTACCTCTGTATGGACCCACCACCTGTGGGAAGGACCATCAAGGTCAGGTGTGATGCACGCTGGGCAGCAGGCAATCCAGGATGACCACCACCCCATTCATATACGTATGTAAACCAGCCATGTCAGTCATTTGAGGTATTGGACATAGAAGTACAAAGCAGCTATTACTAGCTTTTGTCATTAACCAGGGGTGTCAAACTCATTTTCAGCGAGGGCCACATAAGCGTTATGGTAGCCCTGAAGGTGCCGGTAGTAAATAACTTTAACGTTTCATGTTTAACTTCGACAAAACAGTGTTTTAACACATCCTCTTATAAACACTGTAACGTACTATGTGCATGAATGACCAAATCTGAAATAAATGATACAGAATTATTATTAAAAGTAAAACTAAGAGTTTTACTCACTGAGTTGTAGTGGGTAGCTGCCATCTTGAATTCTGATCTCTACACTTTGACAGGGAACTCCCATGGATGATGGACATGCATTATCTGAGGTGTAGTTTATGGCCAAATTTGACTTTAAAGCAGCTTATTTTAAAACATTATTACTGTGCTATCCAACTCATTTGCTTAAAACCAGCAGCTCAGGGGCTGGTTAAGTATTATCTTTCACCTTTTAAATTTGTTAATTTTGTTGCATTAAAAATTTATCATTAATCCATGAAATGGGCTGGACAGGAGTCACCCACAGGCCATGAGTTTGACACATGTGAACCAGATAGACAGATCTACAGTACATTCCTCACTTTAGGTTGCTCTGGTCATTCAGAAATCACCAATCAAGATGGCCATGCTCCACAAAGATGCAACTATTTATTATTAAATGCAGCTTTATTATCTAAATGCATTAATAAACACATTTAGTTGACTCTTATTTACACTTTCCACAGACAAGTTACACCAAAATAAGAATTCAGGCTTTTACCACACAGTTTTGTCAGTGCTTCACCAAAAGTGAAATCCAGTTAAAAAAAATTTTTTTCAAAATTAAAAAAAAAAATCTTTAAAGCTGACGAATGAAGCCGACTCCAACTTCTGTCACCCTTTTCAAACGAAACTAATTTAATGAGCAAAGCACTGTCTGTCACTTGTAAGTGTGGGGCGTTGGACAGGAGTGATGTCAATGTTCCAGACCACCATTATGAGAAATATCAACACCAATAAAATCTAATTAGTGTTGTTTTTTCTTGTTGGTGAGGGAAACTACTGCTGATGAAAGCCATTTTAGCTGGTATGTGTCAGGCTATTTTCAGCAACATTTATTGTGGAAATGAAAACACCAGCATCTGGTAATATCATTTAAGAAATATGAAAGAATTATGATTACAGCAAATCCTTCCATTTTAAAATATTACATGAAAGATTGAATTTCTTTCTTTTGCAACCATTGGCAAAAGCCACAAAGCAAAAGATGAAATTTTGATAATGGGTCTTCTTACTGATTTCTACACTTGATTCTGATCCAAACTGAGGGGAGAGTAAATGAGGTCTTTGGGTTCTTTGCTAAACCTCTGAAAAAAAAGGGTCTTCTTCACTGCTGACCTCACATGAAATTGTTTCCCAAGAAGGAAATGACTGCAACCACCACAGCACTCCGGTCATGAGCCAGACTTAAGCAGTCCAACTACAAAGAGCTTAATCTATTTATAGGAAAACACAGCTACAGAACAGCGATCGGGAAAAACAAACCCCACAAGATGGAAAGACAGTCGGACGACAAGGTTACACACCAACAGCCAAATTCAACAGGATATCTTGCCATTTGCTTGTGTTCTGTGGTAAATTAATTTATTGTGTCTCAAAAAATACTTTTTTCATACATATTACAGTGACAGTTTAGATATAATTAGAAACACAGCACCTACAAAWCTGTCTCAAGCAATCGGTTAAATATTACTTTAGAGTACAGATTTTCTCATGACTATGCCAGAAAAAAAAACACTAAAAATAAATAAATTGCTGTTAATGTGAAAGATTTTATTACTAAGCTGAAAAACTACAACAGCTACAAAGTCGATTTTTATAAGCATTTGTGCAGTTCTGTCATTTACAGAATCAAAATATGTAACATATATTTACCTAACATTCTTTATAATAATAATAATAATAATAATTTATTCAGCACCTTCCAACAATGCCTTGCATTGTCCAAAGAGCCTCACAAGAAAAAAACATTTAAAAACAGATCAACAAAATCAGTGCAAGTTAAAAAGACCACCACAATAAAAGAAGGTAAAGAAATATAAAATACTTCAAGGTAAACATCAAATGCCCTTTWAAATAAATAGGTCTTAAGTTTGTCTTTGAACAGAACCTTTAATCAAAATTTACCCATAATAACCCTAATATTGTATATACAGAATTTATTTTGTTTTTAGTGAAATTAATAAATCCTACAAATAAAATAAATAATCCAGGATGCAGCACTGGGGGATTTTTTTTTTTTTTCAAAATAAAAGTTTGAAACTATTCACTTAATTTTTTTATTATTTTGATAATAAAGTTTGAACACGTATTTGGCTTGGAAGTAAAAATGGGGGGCTTTGAGGAAAATAGGTTGGTAGACTAAATCATCTTGTAACAATAAAAAAGCTGGAAAAAAATCCTGGTATCCTTGTACAGCGCTACAAAAAATTCACAAGACTGGAAGCTTCTCTAAATAAACAGTTTTATTTTTCCTAAAGTCATGCATTAAAATATATAATTTTCCACTGTTTGTACTTGAAATAATACATCTTGAGTGTTGTCTCTCTAAAAACAGCCAAGCCTGATGCAGTCTATCCTGGGCAACACATTCAACCTGCGATGGAAGATCAAGAGCCGATTTGCCAGAAATAACTTGAAAACACCATCGGCTTTGACGCGATCTAATCTTCCAGAGCACCAAACTCTTTGTTTTTTCAGTTGCACTAACTGAGAGTTCACATTTCTCTGGCAGGATCACGACCTGAATGTTAGGTCAGGTGCTCGCGCTATGGAGAGTTCACAGCACATGTGYTAATGTGTGGGCGCATGAATGCACTTTGTCATTTTTGTGGTGTTGTTAGGGAGTCTTACCACCCAGCAGTGTTCATGAGGTAAATAATTCCACWGCAAAACAAAAGCATGTCTGACCGCTTTTATACTCTGGTATGTCATGTTTCAGGAATCTGTATGACAAAAATGTACAGACGCTGTGCTACATTAAACTTTACCGTTCTGCTCATCCAACTCATTGCCGATGTCTTGGCCCATTGTCTTCTGTCGGCTGATGACAGCTGCAAGTGCATCCAAGCCTGCATCCTGGGCTAAAGCAAGATGGGAAAGAAAATAAAACTATAAATGTGGAGGATGAGACTAAAGAGATGCACACATAACAAATCTGAGGTTGGAACAACGTCATCACAAAGACAAAAAAAGAGAAAACATTCAAAAGAAGAGCGGTTTCCAAGTTTACTATGTTCCTCTACCACAAGAACTTATTTTTAACCACAAGATCCAACTTTAAYTGAAACAACCTCAGTGGTCAAAAAACTTCTACAGGGTTAGGTTTCTCTGTCATAACAGAATCCTCTGCTAACAGGCAGAACTTCAATAAAAGACAAAGTGTCACACTGAGTCAGGTAAACAAGTATTATTTTGAATGTTTGCTTCTTTTCTAGATCAACACGTTCTAGCAAAAGCAATGAAATATCTATTTTGTTCATTTTGTATACCTTTTGTATACAACTACTGTTTCCACTCAGTTAATCACTCAATTAAAATGAAATGAAACATGATCAGAATTGAGGATTAGAGGAGGTGTGTGTGTGTGTGTGTGTGTGGAGGGGTGAGGGGGGGAGACGGGCTAAACAAACCAACACACCAAAAGTTGATTAAAAGTGAAGCCGGCAGCATCCTAAACAGCCATGCTGTCATGTTATAGAAAATTGGCTTCAAAGCACTTTAAATGTTTAAAAACTGAATGTAATGATTTGCAACTCCTTTTTTCCAAATCTGGTCAAAAATATACACAGATTTGTTTCAAACAATACTGAAATGCATGTTTAAAATTGTCATTTAAATGATCCAATAGTATTACTTTTAAACTTCTTCTCCTTTGTCACCACAAATCATTGGAATACCTTGACAATGAACATTACAACATGTTCCACTTATAAAATATTTGCACATTTGGCAAAAAATATGGCTATTAAATAAGCAGATTTGTACTCATAACTGATGAAAGCAAGGATAATGTTTTATGAATTTGTTTTAGTTTGTAGTTTGGTTGTAATGAGATCTGAATAACAAACTTTTTTAAATATGTATGTAATCATTTACTAAACTGGCTTTTTATCATATGTTAATTCACATTTGATCACATCAACTTGTCCAGGGACTGAAGGTGGAAATTAGTGTTTTTTGCTATAACCTGGTACCATGCATCTCTCCTTGTAAAAGGTTAATGAAAATAATTTTCTGACTCCTATAGTRGAATTACCCTCAATGATTCTTTGTTGCTGCTGTTTAATCTCTCCGAAGGTCAGCCCCTTGGTCTCTTCTGATTCGTTGATGAGCCATGGGTTCGCAGAACCTCCTCCGCTGGCTGCTGCTTTTCCAACCATCAGTGTGGACCTGTGGTTTAGAAATAAGATAATTTTTCATTTACAACTATTTCTACTTCTAAAGTAAACGGTGGCCCAGTAGATCACAATACCTAACGATTGTCAGTAAATGAAAATGTGCATGTTTAATCTGAAACAATAACCAAAATACTTAGCAAATATACATGAACAAGGTTTTACCAGTGTGTAATAATGGACATAGGTATGTCTTTTCTAGTAAACACCTGTAGAACACATATTTATTCACAGTTATTTAAGTTGTTTGATTTTCTTCTGAAGTTGTAATTAAAATAAAATTTGTGCAGACTGTGTGAGACAAAGCATCAAGTCTAACCTTTTAAATTACCAAGAGACTACAAGCCAAACTTGCACTTCCTCCATGCTGGCGCTCAGCGTGTTAAGATCCAATTAAAAATTCAATGAAGACCAGCAAAATCAGTCGGGCACATCTCTTGGCAACCACAAAGAACTTGACTGAGTGACTCTGGCAGGTGAGATTTAACTAATTATCACAACTTCCTACTTAACCAAACACAAAGAGAAGGTTAGAGGTGTAAAGGTGGCTCCAACGTGGTAAACTGAGATTTAAAAACAAGAACCTTGTCCTTGTTTAGCTTGATTTAAAAGCAGATGCTTCAAATATTTTGTTTTCACAATATGTTTTGTTAGTGGCTTAAACAATCCCATCCCACATACACACTCCGTCGTCGCAGACCACACAGTAGGAAGGGGTCCGACACCTAACCTCAAATCCAAATTACCCACCACATGCAGCTATTAAACTCAGGTCTCACAGAACAATCTAAAAACCATGTGACCACATGCAGTTTGCCAAGCTAATTTATTAGCAAATGTCATGTGAAGCTTTTTTATTATTATTTAAAAGAGACTTTTATGCAATTGAGTGTGGTCTGCAAAAAAATAAAAAATAAAAAAAGATGAAAGCTTGTGCAAAGCACGGCTAAGTAGATCAATCCAAAAAGCAAAGCTTGGGAAAGATATAAGAGAAGGAAGGGCACTCTCAAGTCACAACTTCAGCAACCGTGTAAAGCTCTAATTTACTGAGCTGTTTTTAAAATGTTTCCTTTAAATACTGGAGACAATTTTGTCTGTTTGTTAGCAAAATATCTTATGAACCACTAGATGAATTGTAATTAAACATTCAGAAAACAATTGTTAAGTAAACACCAATAAATGCTTACATTTTGTAGTTCATTTGCAAGTCATTACATTTTGTTTTTATTCACATTTTACTAARCATCCCATTTTTTTTCCCAAAATTGAAGTTGTGCTGTACAACATCTAGAGAGCAAGACAAGATAAGAATGCCAACACAAAACATTCATCAACCAGAGGAAGCAAGAAGAGCCAACGGCATGACATCATTTCCTCTTCCTGTCCAAACAAATATCACCTGTTTAACGCCAGGTCAAAACTTACAGTAATGACAACCTKCTTCCTGGTAGTATCACGCTGAGATCACATCAGATCTCATCAACAGTCATCCTACAGGAAACTCTCTCTTCCCTCTGGTTCACTAAGAATGTGTGTGATCAACAGTGCAGAGCGAGCAAATCCAATGARCAGGAATTAGAGCTGTCAAAATGGCGGGCGGACAGATTTCCTTCCAAGTGAAAGCAATAAGAGAGGACACAGAAAATGGGTCAAACCGGAGACACAAAGACCCTCAGAGAAAGTTAGTGATCGGTAACATCATCAAAGCAGGGCACGGAGATTATGAYGACTCTGGTGAAGGAAACAGACATGAAAATGAGGGTTCGTTATTTTTAATTGGGTGGCCATAGAATTAGGTGTCATGGGAGAAAAAAAAAGACCTCAGAAGGAATAAAAATTACTAAATGAACAATGGCTTCTGAGCAGAGTGCCTTCTAATAAATGCTGAGCGAATGAAATTTAGGGTCAACAAATAATATGCAGAGAAAACAAAAGTTGGTAATGAGGTGGGGCGTGTGATTCACTGAATCTAAATGAAATACCACGCACATCAGGCTTAAGTTTAACAGTGTTTAATAGTTTATTGGTGTGTTTGTTGTTTCCGACTGCATGTTTTATGAGAGGAAATGGATGATATAGGTGAAAATTTTCCCTGATAATCCCCACAATCTTATGGAATATTTAAATGAAACTTTAGACCAACCAAGGACCTACTTATTTTTTCTTTTTGATTTTTTTCTACCTGGATTACTGAGATGCATGAGGACATTTWGACCAACTTGTTTCTTTAGATGCCAAGTACCTGGTGGATTCAGGCTCTGTGATATCTCCTTTGAAAGTTCCATTGAGTTGCTTCTCTCTGGTTAGCAGATCATCTATAAGGTTCTGCCTCCTGTCAGATTCTGACTGCATTCTGATGACAGMATGTTAAGATTAAATTGTTACCTTATTTAGCTCTAATAAAAATTGATGACCTTTCTGACACATTTCTTTTGGCATAAAGTCTTCTAATCAGGACAGCTGCTTAAGGTAAAAAAAAAAAAAAGGGTTCCTTTTAATAAAACTATCCTGCCCTCTACAGGAACATGTGTGTTACTGCAAGCACAAGCAACATCCCATGTCTGCCTGTCAGTCTTATGACTCTGGGTACTTCAGGGATAGGCAATCCTGGTCCTCGAGTGCCACTGTCCTGCATGTTTTACATGTTTCTCTGCTCCAACACACCTGATCTGAATGACTGGTGATTATCAGGCTTCTGCAGAACTTGGAAGAGGTAATTCAATCTCTGAATCAGGTGTGTTGGAGCAGGGAAACAAGTAAAACATGCAGGACAGCGGCACTTGAGGACTATGATTGTCTCTCCCTGGGTACTTGTTACAGTGTCAAGAAAGAACAAAAAGGATACATGCGYCGAGATGAAGAAGCTCTCAACAAGCCCTCTTTGAGCTGAGCAATATTCTGTTTCAGTTTCTGCAGTGATGCTCGTAGTGTCATGTTGATCTGAAAAGACAGAACAGGTTGTTGTTGAACAAGACACCCTTTTAATTCATACTAGAACASAGACGGTAACGTTTTATACCTTTGCAGGGTTCCCCCCTGTTCTCTGCTGTCTGTTCCTTTCATGGATGTTTTCTGCTATTTCCTGAGCCAGGCGACACGTGGCGTCATAATTCTGCAACCTACARATTAATGAGTGTGAGGGAAAAATGTCCAGAAAAAATGACCCCTTGTACTGTCATAGGATGTAAAGCTTTTATGGCATTAAGTACYGCAACTCAACAAGGTGTGAGTTTTGTTTTTGAGTTCTGCTTAAAAATAATTTATAGTAAAAGTTATATATTAAAAATGCTATAGGTTCAGTTGAAAATATGCAAATAAATTAAAWATAGTTGAATCTGGAACTTTACTTGCAGTTCTACTAGTTCTGCTTAACTATAGGATTATACCAGAAATAAAAAAGTTTCAAAAAGTATAAATATTCTTGAAAATTGTGATCTGAAACAGCTCCCAACATGGTTAATTTCTATCTATGTCTCATMTGAAAACACAAGCCAGATGTGATCAAGTACACCACATTCCTCTTCATACTGATGCTAAGCCTTCACCTATAATGTGTAGATAATACCACCTAATACTGATTTGTATGTTTGAGTAACCTTACAAGTATTATCTGAAGAATAAACAAAATAAACACTCGCAATGCTTACTAAAGTGTTACCCTGTTGACCAGGAACTAGCAAACACTTCAGCTAACATTAGCACAAAACAACGCAGAGAGAGAAAATGACGTGTATTCTTGTTTAAAATACATTTCAAACTTTTCGGTCGAACGCAGGAAAGCTTTACCTACCAAGGGTCCTGAGACATTGTTGGGAAAACAACAAACAAAACAAGCTACCGAAGAGTAACAACACTGCTTAAAAAGCAGCAGAACCGGTCACTTGTTTTGGATGTGACGTCACTACGGCACACGGCGAGGACCATTTTACTCCGTAACATTGTGATGAAAATGAAAGGGGTAAATGAGTAGACAGTTAATAAATCAGCACGATAACCAATATGATTTTTCTTTGTTGACAAAATCAGCAAAACACACAATTATTTGTGGTTAGTGAGCTAGTTTTTCTGATAAAAGTACAATAATATGCAGTGTGCTAGGGTTTGTGGTTAAACTGCATATTAAATAAAAAGTAACTATAACACTGGAGATACCCAAACAAATCAATTGGTATTTAAATGCAACAGAAAATGTAAATAAGAGTAACATTTATAGATGAAAAACAAGTGATGCTAGCAATAACATCCTTGACACATTYCATAGATAAAGAGTAATATGTGCACTAAATTGCTACTATCACCTGCAGTGGTGGGATGTAATAAAGTACTAGTACTTTGTTACTACAAAGACATACAATAGATATACAAAGATACTACAAACAATGTACTTAACCAATTGTTAAGTACATTTTTCATGTATCTGTGCTTTACTTAGATTTAATCACGGATGCGTTTAACTTTTACTCCACTAATGTGTTGCATTACAAGTTTCATTCCTGCCACTCTACGTTTTTTATTTTATTTGTTTATTTTTTTAGTATGTAATCAATGGTGAGATGGGGAATTGCTGTAATTGGCCCAACTGAATCACTGCAAAACATGACTCTCCTTCAACAGGAGTGGGGCTGTTCCACATCACCAACTGGAGCATCAGCGACACTAGCACACCCAAAATGGATTCTACCAAAAAGAGTCAGCCAGAGGAAATGTGCCTTATTTAAAAGACATTCAAATTAGCAGGTTCAAAAAATGACTCATGGAGATTTGATAGAATGTACAGCTTCTGTAGCTGTTGTCACAATCTCTAATGATGCACAGAATCACATGTCAACAGGGTCACAGAGGGTAAACACAAAAACATGCATTATCTGCAGCATTGTTCACTAAAACAGCACACCATTGTTGTGCAGTAGGCACACTTCATGATATTATAGCTAATTAGGGAATGCATTAAGCAAGTACTTTTACTTTTAATTGTTTAAGTATTTTTAAAAGCAAGTACTTTCTTACTTTTACTCAAGTAAAAATGTTAATGTGGTACTTTTACTAGAGTACATTTTTGTCTGTTTATTTGTATTTTTACTTAAGTACAGTGTTTGGGTACTTTCTCCACCACTGGTCACCTTTTGCTCTCCTTTCATTAAACAGCTAGACTGGAATATTATTGTCTCTGTGTGTTTGTTCATTTGTCTGCACCACTGGCAAAATATCTTATGAACTTTGTAATATTTAATGGGCTTGAAATCTGAAATGTCAACATATCAATTAGAAATGCAAAAAAAAAGTATTAAAAACKTTGGCATGCAAGGCAGTGGACAAGGTGCATTCCTTCAAGGAATAATTGGCCTTTAACCAGTTTATACTTTTGTTTACTCCATATGGAATAACACCAGACCTCCTATTTAAAGTGTCTAAAATTTAGCTCCATACTGTACGTGTGAGGTAGCTTGTAGATGTTGTAGTGTTTCATGCCTAAACACTTCTCATGTTTGGATGAAAACAAACACATGTTGTGCAAAGCAACAGACTTTGACAGTCTTCCCAGAACACACTGCTTTGACATTTTGATGTCACGCACGAGACAATTCACAAAGAAAAAGTAACAGATATAATCAGATTACTGTTACTTTTGACAGTTCAGTTCATGTTTCTGATACATTTCAAAATAATATATATTAAATCTTACCACAATAAACATCTCATAACTCATTGCGAAAGATGACCAAAATGCAGAAATCGAACAAACGAACCATTGAAGAAATGAATCTTTCGTACCGAAGGTTTAGACATCTTATGTGGAGAAATGATGAAACTGTAGCTGAATTAATCAAACCTTGAAATTAATGTTATGCACAATATGCTGCTCAGAAGTACATCTTGTGAAGGACTCTCAGCAACTACCACATCAAATTTCATCTCTGCATTTGTAAAAACTGAGCGAGAGACGATGTGTTGGAGAAGTTTGATTAGCTTTAGCAGCCATTCTGATTTTGGTTGGCACAAGTACAATCAATATTTATTTTCTGAAAGATGTAATAAATTTTGTTCTGTGCTCCATGAGATCTTTTGCTACTAGATAGACAGAACTGTTTCCAAATACTTAATTAATTTTTTTAAACTAATCTTACACTATCTGTTGGAACTCAGAATTTTGTGTTGAAGATTACTCTCAACTACTACCACACAAACCTTTTGAAATTGATATTTGTAAAATTGACTAATTTATGGCTATGCTTGTATTTTTTAAGTCAGCTGACTTTTAATTACTAAACTAAAATTTTAATTAATTAAAAACTATCAAGTTGTTCATGAGATTCTTTGCTAACAAACAGACATTTAAATATACAGGCAACAAAACATTATTGCCTGCATTTTGCCATAATAACTGAACGATGGAATTAAAGATAACTTTTTAATCAGATTTGCAGCAAAAGCGGGACAATCTCAAACAGTGAACTCCAAAGTGCACCTAGACTGTCTCATGATCAGAATCAGGCAAATTCAAAGAATGCAGGTTTTGTAAGAGGTGAATAAATACAGGTGAGCTAATGAGGAAAAGGTTATCTGAGTGCACGAAAACTTGCTGAAGTTACAGAAAACTTGGACCAGAAACAAACCAACAAAACAAAACAAGAAACCTTTATGAACAAAGATTATGATTATTAAAAATAATCAAAATAAAACCAGTTGTGGACCGTGACAGTTCATGTAAAGTGTTTTCTTTATCTTATTTTTTTTTTTAGCTATTGTGAAGCCATGTCTTATTTTACTGGCTCTGATGAATGCTGGCCCTGGTGGACACTGTGGTTTCTTCTTAGAAATAACTGTGTCCTGAAAGTCAAAAATAGGAAAAAAAATCAGTGGAACTTTCCCATTTATTGGTACCTTAATTATGGCAAACAAAACCTCCCATTGGTCATGTGACCTAAGACTTAAATAATGCCCTGATCCTCTGAGCGTGTATTCAGTGAGAAGAGACGTTACCCTTCAAGAAGTCTTGTCTTTAAACAACAGGACCTGGAAATGATTCACGTTTCAAGGACGCCGGAGTTCTCCAACTGTGGAAACTTGAATTTATTATCCCACATGTCCTCCGACCAAGACCTGAGCTTTGTTGCAACAGGTAGAAGACAAAGGTCTCACTCCTATGACAGCGTAGAGGGCAGTAGGACCAACGGTTTACCAGTGCAGACAGCAGAAACCATTCTAAGGCCTCGCTCCCGGTAAGTTTTACTCTTTGAGCTTGTTTCATCATCCAGCAAAGATAATGATGATGCTTTGCCTACATGACAAATAACTGGTCACATCTGTTCTCATGCTTCTCTWCCTCAGGTCATTTTACAGCTATGAGTCGTCTTCTGATTTAGACGTGGTGAACTTTTCCAGGTTCAGTCCTCTGAGACAGAGAACAAGCTCCCATTTGAAAAATCAAGTGTCCAAAAAGGAGAATATGTCTGGGGATCGGTCCGGTGGTAAAACCAAACCAAACAAACTCAGTGGTACTAAAACCGTGTATATCAAAGGAATTTTAATTCTATAATAACAAACAATTAAGTACTCTAAAGGTGGCTTTATGTGCACAATGTGTTGCTCAGGCAGTAAAGGTAGTGCCAGGTCAGTGTCCATGATGACCATCTCTGAGTCGGACAACTGGGAGATATGCTGCAGCTCGGGGATGAAGTATGGACAGTTTGTAGACTGGGAGAAGATCGACCCTGAAGCTGCGAGAAAATATGAGCAGATTCGGAAAAGCGAGCACCGGCAGCTAAAAAGCATGGGCCGAGATGGATTCTGGGCCATGCCGCACACGCTAAGAGCCAAAGCGTATTATCACATCATCCACAACATCAACTCCAGGTTAAGACCCTTACATTTGATTTAAACCCACGTAGCTACACTGTCTGACTGTGGACGCTCATCTGTTGCAGGGCCGTCTCACCAGACAGAGACGTGTTTTATGAGCTGGTCAAGAAGCTTTTTGGAGAGCAGAAACTCAGCACCCACCCAGTCCCAGAGTACATGGAGGATGGAGAAGTCCCAAGGTACCTTTTTAACCAGATAACTGTTTTTCATGAAAACATGCAATAAGAGTTGCCACCAAATTTAGACACGAATGAGACAAAATTAAGACTCTGCGACCAAATTCAGATAAAAATAATTCAACATTATTTCAAAACCGGTTGTGTACTTAAAAAAAAAAACGTGACATAAATTCACATTTTAGTATCTTTAACTCATCACCAACAGTTGCAGGTCAGTGCCATACTGGCTTTATATAAATAGAAGTTTTTGGTTTGTTGACACTGATGACAGAGTCTATCTGTGGTCCATTAGCAATGGTTCATGTGCAGCTTGAGACGCATAACAGAACGTTTTTAGGGTAGTTGATAGAAAAGTAAGAAAGATAAAAAAGAATAACATGTCTTTAGATTTGCTATGAGATTTTATTGAACACAAAAATGCAAACTGTCTTTATAAATGTCAAAGCTGTAACAATGTCATTTTTATTTTAAGTTTATTTTTGTATTTTCTTTTGTTTTGCTGAGATGGCAGGAATGCACTTCTCCATGTACCCACCATGTTTTTGCCTTAGGAGGAACTTCTACTCTCTTTCATTGCAGATACTGTCTCAACAAAGCAGGCCTGAATTCGGTTAAAAAGATCCTTCTTTGCCTCGGCAACTATTTCCCAGACATGAGCTTCTGCCCCATCCTCCCCGCCTTGGTCTCTCTCATCCTTCACTTCAGCGAGGATGAAGCCGAGTGTTTCTACAGTGTGTCTCGACTTATTTGCTACAAAGACCCCAATAAGCGGTACATTGACCAGACCTTCCTAACGTACCGCGGCTCCTGCATGACATTCGGGGACCTTGCCAACCGGTGCTGCAGAGGCATTCGTAAGCTGATCGCCAGCTCTCACCAAAACCTTTTTGAGTTTTACTCTGACTGGATCATGTGGATCTTTGCCGATCTTCCCTTCACCTATGCCATAAGAGTACTGGATGTGTACCTACTAGAGGGCTACAAGGTTCTCTACAGGTTGGTTGAACTAGCATTATTTTACAGAATAAATTACAGATTGTAGAAGAAAAACACTTAAACTGTTTTATAATCCTTGCTTGTAGGGTAGCGTTGACCTTGCTCGATCTCTACAAAGTGTCTGTGTCGTCTCGAGTGGCAGACGTGGAGGACTTCCGAACGGATATGAAGCGTTTCGTACAGAGCGTGGACCGCCACTGTACCATTGAGACGCTTCTAGAAAGAGCCTTCCAGATCCCCATGGCTACACGGAGTGAGCTGAACCTCCTGTTCAACGCCAACAAGGACGCTCTGATGGGAAAAGGTGTCAGCACACACCAGAAGAGGTAGGTTTTATGGTAACATCTGAGGTCTAAGCATTGCTTAAACAGAAAATAAAGTCATTTTAACTTTTTTTAAAGGAATAGCATGCACAGCTCTGTTGCTAACTATGATTTTGATTTTTCTGAGTGTAAATATTTGTTGACAAATCATTTTTTATGTTTTTAAAGGCAGACAGTGGAAACAGTGGACTTTGCAAACTTCAGGTCCGATGTTGTTACAAGGACTGAGATGAGAGTCATCTGGGCCTGGATCCCTGAGCGCGTTGCTCTGTTCAGTCCTGTTAGGTTGTTCAGTACAGCAGAACATGGAAGAGGTCTTTCTTTGTGAGTGACCTTATCTTGATCCTAATAAATAAAACAACATTTGATAAACAGGTTTRACACATTGGGCACAAGTTATGCTAGTAGTGTTGCAAAGTTGTTTTCGTGTGGAAATAGTTATTGCCTTTTTTGTTAGCAAAATATCCCGTGAACTATCATTTGATCCAAACAGCTACACGTTTGTCATTTCTCAACATAAGACGATCTTAGTTCAAAACTCAGGAATAGTAGGCCTTGTGAAACAACTGATAGCCAGGTTTCCTTGCTTGGTGCCAGTTATAAAGAAGGGTTATTTGCACCATCAACATGTTTAYATTGGAGTAAAATGTCAAGCCATGAGCAGTTTTGTAATAATAAACATAATCTGTTCTTGTATTTGAACAACCATTGAAAAATTACTCTTGGGGGTTCAACTAACAATAGATTAATTTGAAACCGAAACAACTTTAGAGACCATTTTTTTCTTTTATTATTCAGGTTTTATTCACATGTTGAAGGACATGAACCAGTGGTCATCATTATCAAAACAATGGAGGAAGAGGTAACTTTTAGTAAAGTAAATAAGCCTACTGAAGGAGATCTAATGTGTTTTTGTGATTTTCCCTTTGATTTAACTCTGGATTTAAAGCTCAGTAATGTGGTGAGTTTAAAGAAAACTTTTTTATACAACTAAATTATACRTTTTTCAAATTTTGTAGGTGTTCGGCGTGTTCCTATCAACAGACCTGATAGAAACTAGAAATCACGACTCTGAAGAGCTCATGTATTTTGGAACTGGGGAATGTTTYGTTTTCACGGTGAGCCAAAGTCTTTCTTCTGCAATTCAACCATAGTGCATTAAATGACTGCACACGGAAACACAAACTCTGCTAGGATTTCAGAAATAGCAACAAACTGGCAAATGGTCAAAAATAACAAAGTGGAAGGATTTGGGGAGGAAACGTGCAGCTGAACATTAAAAGTGTAACCACTGTTTCAGCTCCGTCCCAACATGGAGCGCTACCAGAGGGCGATGGTCAACATAATGACCCGAAGAGGTTCCTCTCAGCAGGACCATGCCAACATCAAGAAAAGCGGAAACCCCGGTTCTGCTGGGACTGCACCGAAGCCCAGCTATCTGACCATCCCTTTTACGACACAGTCTGATACTGCCAAAGAGCCCAAGAGACCCAAGGAGCAGGAAGCCTCAAAGTTTATTGCGGGAGATGACAGTCAGCTCATTATAGGTACGTCATTAAAACAAAAAAATCTGATTAGAGGATCTCAGTGCACCGTTTGTAAAATTGTAAAAGATCTAATAAATAAATGGGTGCCAAGCCGTTTAAAACTTTAAAAGTAAGTAAAAGTATCTAAAAATCAATGCAAAACACAAACAGGCAGCCAGTGTAGGCCAGCTAAAACAGGAGTGATCTCATGCCTTCTGGTTCCTGTTAAAAGACGTGCAGCAGAGTTCTGGACTAACTGCAGRAGATGGTGAGACGATTGTTCCMAACCAACATAARAGTTGCAGAAGTCCAGTCTAGTGGTGAAGAAGGCATGGGTGAGGGTAATGAGGTCTTTTGGGGYAGGTTTTTGCTTTGGCAATGGCCGAGATTTTTATCCAGGCTAGGCAAGTGAAGGTCCAATTTATATTGTTTTTTTAGACTACTAAAACCACTCTTTTTCTCAAACACGAATAACGCTACATCAGCTGAAATTGACACAGATCGTCACTGTTTCCTCAGCCCGAACAACAATCGTGTTAATACTCAAATTTATGTGTTGATGATGACCACAGTGACAAACACTTCAAAAATGACCAGACYATCCGTTTAAGAAGCTCTCAGCTGCAGTAAGAGATAAACACTGAGTGTGAAGCGTGAACCRCTGCTGTGTCGTATGTTTCAGGTGGTGATGGGGGTCACGCTCTGTTTCTGTATGAGGACCTGGAAGAAGGATACACCGAACACTGCGACACGTTCAGGAGCAACCCTCTTTGCAAGGGGCGTTTCCAGATCCAGTCCCTTGAAGTCTGGGGTGTCCAGAGCTCAGTTTACTTATCTCGCAGATTTTCTTTGCATTAGAACTTTGTGACTTGTTTCTATTCAAACCTGAACCAGTTTTTGTTAAAGCTATTTTTGTGAACTTGACTTGCAGATATTTATTATCGCCCAGCATCATGAAGGGGCAATTGCTTGTGTCATTTTTTTGTCTGTTTGCAAAACTATATAACACCACTGGACAATTTTAATGAAATTCTCAGAAAGTATCAGTTTGTTGTACATCTACTACTGATTAACTTTTGGAGTCAACTTGATTCAATAATCTTTGATAGCTGAAACTGCCCTTTTGTTTAGGGCAAAAAATGAAAAAAATAAAAGCATTCTGGCTAACTGTCATTTTATTGTACATTTTATTTGTTAAATAATCATTTTTTAAAGATATTGAGCTACATTTTTGTGTGATAGTAGCTGAGAGTCATCACCAACACATTCTGAGCACAGCTCACATGAGAGCTTTGTTTAAAGGTGACATGCATTCCTTCAAAGAATGCAACTTTATTTTATAAAGTTTGATTGTATGCAAAAAGTACAAAATAGCTGAGAAACCAGACAATCTGAAACAACAAACATCCAAACAACGTGTCACCATGTGGACTCATTAGAACTTTACTGCAGCTGAAAACAGCAGAATGAGGTAAGAAGTGTGTTCAAAACAACTTTAGACAAAACATACTTTTAACCTTAGGTTAAACACAATACTGTATAAAAAGCGAGACAATAAAACGGACCAAAGACAAAACAAACACAAGAGAATAACTCAGCGAAGCCCCAAGGTCCCTCGTTTAAACAAAAGTGACAAAACAACAAATCACTGTCAGACACAGAATCTGACAAGGTCAGGAACTTTTCTTTTCCTGTTAACAGCGGTGCTGTTAGCAGATTCACTGGACTTTTTCTGTAATGACAAAGGTAATAAAAAATGTTACACAATTTGATTAAAATACCTGAATTCATCTCTCCAGAAAATGTGATTTTGTGTTTTAAAAGATGTGCAAGAACAATCTGCCTCTGCTGAAATGATATTCAGAGTGTGCAGAGTTCTGGAAAACAACATATCCCCAAAAATACCAAATTATTTTGTTGTAACAGAATAAACTTTTACACAGAACAGCTGCTGTAAAGATAGGTCAGAGGTTATGAAATAAAGGTCATGGTACATTAACAATTCTGCTTATACCACTCTGTAATATACTGCATTTTACTTTGCTCATTACTTGTACAGAATGCAGAACGTCCAGATCCATTTAATGCATTAATTAAGCAAAATATTAGAGATTAGGTTTAATTTTATAACTTATGCACAGTAAATGTCCAGTCTTGTAACAATAATTATATAGCAGACATGTTTTATTGTAATTATATCAATAAAAACGCGAACATTCTTTTCATCAGACCCAAAGCCAGCCTTTTAAAATCGTACAACCATTGAGTTAGAAGAACAGTAAATGCGTCTCGAATTTACGTGGGACATCAAACGCATCACGCCAAGCATCAAACGGAGCTGCTGTGGTTTAACCCGGCTAGCTGCCTGCTGCACATTTCATCCTGCTTCTTTCCATATGGAGCGGCTTTGATTGCAAGTGTTTGCAAGAAACATTGTAAAAACTCTTCTTAAAGAACAACAGAGAGGTGGGACTCAGATTAATGTGCTCTGCGTTGTTTCAGCTAACGCGTCAACATTAGCGTTAGCGAAGGTAGCTAACGTGGTTTAGCTTAGCTTTGTGTTTATATGCGCCTCAAATAGGAAATTCAGCGTAAACAGGATATTCATTGTTCCGTTGGACAGCCTTACTCTGTGATGCATGGTGTTCATAAACGATTGGACATCTAGTAGTGGCCAACCGGATGTGCAAACTGCAGGCTTTGTGTATTCTCTTTTTCAGAGGGGGTTCAATGCTAGCAGCTCAACGCATTAAACGTGGCTGTTCATTTTAATAAACAAGCTGTCAGCGAAGAAACCTGTGATCCTCACACAGATGCAACATTCAGAAATTCTGAAACCATAGTCATTGTTTTAGGGGGAATATACGCATCAGAATGAGTTAAACCTCTTTAAGATAAAGTGACATAAATCAGTTCAAAATGATAAATCTTAATCCAGAATAATTTGCAAAAGAACAGTGGGGAAGGGAATGTTGAAAAGGCCTAATGTTAATGACATGTTAATGTCATGACACAAACATCCTGCTTGTTAAATTAGTAAAAACAATGCGTGAATATTTGTTTTATTGTCTGTACTGATACGCTATTATTAAATTGTATTCCATGTTTACAAAATGAGCATGATTTCTTTTTATACCTTTTGTTTTTCAGATAGACATTTAAAACAGACATTTCCTGAATGTGGCAGATGGCAACTTTTTCTACTCGTGAAAGTCTGGATGTGAAATGGCCAAACATGAAAAAGGCACGATGAGGAAAAAAAATATGAATTAATCCTGGAGCCTCATCGGTTCGAAACAAACTCCTTCTCCAAACAGGTCATTCAAAGAGCTATCTACAGCAGGTAAGATATTATTTGATCATAACAGTTCCATACAACCTCCCTAAATAAAATAACGTGGAAAAACTTAGTCATTAATATCACTCACTTCTTTTTTTTCTTCACTTCTTTTTAAGTTTGACATAAAAAAAACTGTCTATCTTTGAGGCATTTAGAATAGAAGCAGCCTTTATTGTACCGTGCGAGGAAATTCAGGTGTAGCAGCAGCAGATACATACATCAATCCACAGAAACAGCATATTGCTATGTGACATTATCAACTGTAGCAATAATAATCAAATTAAAAATAGTAACAATAAAATAAACATAGATCAAAATAAAAATAAGAATAATCATTACTGTAAAGGGCTATCAAGGTGAAAATGGATAAAATGAAAATAAGGCAAGAGACTGTGCAGAAAAATATAAATTACAGGAAAAAACAGTCATGATAGAGTCATGATCCGAGGGGGTGTGCAAACTGATTCAAACTCAGTCATTAAGTCCAGTACAGGAAAAAAATGATGTACAATTGCCACAGGACCATTTCCTAACTAAGTTAAAAAAAAATAAAATAAGAGCTAGGCCAGTGCCATCTTAGTTTTACAGAAGTTGGATTAGATAAAACAGATTAGCCATAATTACCAGAAACAGCTAATTAAAGGAATAGTCCGTTTTTGCCTGCTTAGAAAAGTTTTGTCCCTTCAGTGCATTTTGTTGATGATCCCTGTCTGAGATTAGTGTTGGAGAAAATGATGTCACAATGTCATTTTCTGTTTTGTGTTTCTGTTCTGTGTGTTTATGTGTTGTGTGTCAACAGGCTGCAGACATGGGTCCAGACGACACACCAGAAGTAAAAGCAGAGCCTTTAGACGAAAGTACGTACTGATGATTTTTCTGTTAATGCAATATAGCAAATAATGAAATTCCTCAGCAGTTTTAATCCGGTCTGGCATAAAGTGTTTAAAGTTTTTCCTTTGCTKTGGTTTTTCAATAGGTTCAGATATTGTTGAGGTGAATGTGGACCTAGATTCGGGYTCCTCTGATGATTCGACCTCCTCCGACTCGGAGCATGGCAAACAACCGAAGAGGAAAAGATCAGAYAAGAGCTATCCTTGCCCCACCTGCGGCAAGGTGTTTGACAGACCATCAAAGGTGGAGAGACATAAACCTGTCCACGACAGGAAGCCCAAGATCCTTCATCCGTGTCAGCATTGTGAGAAGAGCTTCAGTCATGAAGAGAAGCTGATCCGACACCAGAAGTTCCACACCAGGAGTAACGAGCATCCCTGTCCCGACTGCGGGAAAGTCTTCGACAGGCCTTCAAAGTTAGAGAGACATAAACGCATACACTCAAAGAAACCAAAGGTGCCCCATCAGTGTGCGTTCTGCATGAAGACGTTTAGCAAGCTTCACAAACTTCTCCGTCACGAGCGAGTTCACACCGGGGAGAAACCGTTCACCTGCCCGATCTGCGGGAAGGGCTTCTCCGAGGCGGGCCACTGCAAAGCCCACGAGAGGACCCACGAGGCGCAGCCGGAGAAGCCCCACTCCTGCACCGACTGCGACATGAGCTTCTTCAAGGCCTCGGAGCTCCGGCGGCATTTCCGCTCGCACACGGGGGACAAGCCTTTCCGGTGCACCTTGTGCGACAGGTGCTACTCCCGCTCCGAGGGGCTCAAAACGCACATGAGGAGCCACACGGGGGAGCGGCCGTTCAAGTGCACCATCTGCGGCAAAGCCTTTTACTCTCGCCACTGCCTGAGCACCCACTCGCTGATCCACTCGGGAGAGAAACCGCACGTCTGCTCCGTGTGCGGCAAAGGCTTCTCGCAGCTGGGCAACATGAAGGACCACGAGCAGAACGTGCACAACAAGTCCGAGAAGTACATTTGCAGCGAATGCGGGGCCACGTTCACGCGGTACAAGTCGCTGATGGAGCATCAGCGCATACACACGGGAGAGAAGCGCTACGCCTGCCTCACCTGTGGCCGCAAGTTCTCCTGGAGTCATTCTCTCAGCCGACACCGAAGGACACACGTACACAAACAGATGGCTCTGGAAACCTCGAAAGACTCCGAGAGTTTTGAGGGTCCGTCTGAGAACACAGAGGTTGAGAAAGCAAGTAGTTTTCATGAAGATGAAGTCCACTAAACCTCCCTAGTTTTCCAGCGTACACACTAATTCTGATGGTTTGTGATGGCTGGCCTTGTTTAAAGACACAAGTCAGAAACTCAAAGATCAGAGCAACATTTCATCTTGTTTTTGTTCTGCATTAGTTTTCATGGAATGTAAAAAAATAAGCGTTGGAGCATGCAGGTGTATCAGCATAAAAGAAGACTCTACCACAGGTCAGCGATGGAGGCAGGTTAGCTGTGTTAAAAACCTTACAGGTTAGTTATATATTTTCACGCAACATTTGTCAAAACCATTTCWCAGATTATACAGAGCCATTCAGAAGAAAAAAACACTTGACTAGAACTTCTTTTAAAATTTTTGTTTTGATTGTTCAGCTGTTAAAGTAAAACCTATGCTAATCAGGTTTCAAAGCACTTTTAGGTCCATTTCCTCCAGCTTAGATGATACGATATTTTTATATTTTAGATTTTTTTCTTAACGCAGTGACTTTAATCTTGACATTACATTTTTAATTTTGCAACCAAAAACAAACATAAAAAACTTTGTATTGTTTTCTCTTCTTAGCGACTAGCATGCTCTCAATAACAGCCTTGTGTTCATTTTCGAATGGTACGCTCATATTTTCCTTACTGTGGACATCTAAATACATTCCTTGGTTAAAAAAAAATTGTTAGTCAATCAAAACAAAGAATTCTTTACCAAAAAAAAAAAAAAAAAAAATTGTTAGTCAATCAAAACAAAGAATTCTTTACCAAAAAAAAAAAAAGGAAAAAAAAAAAAGCTTTATGAATAAAGAAATTGTATGTTTTTGTACACTGATAAAACTATAACAAACCAGTCAGTATTGCTTGGAAGATATGGCGCTTAAATAAGTGAAAATCACAAAGTGCATGAACGGTTTGTGTCTGACATTAAAAAAATTTTAAGAATAATTTTTTTAAATCTTTTCCTATGCATTTTTTTATGTTTTGTCTTGTCTTTTTACTCTGAAGAAATGAATGGAGTTGTTTTTGCTGCCCAGTCTGAAAATATAAATTCAGCAAATGTTCTCAGCTGTGTTTTCTGTTTCTTCTTGTGTCCGTTGCAGTTCAAGCTAATGTATTTACATTGTAAAACTGAAAAACCACTAAAAATGTTTTAGTTGAATTCATTTTTTTTTTTTCATGTACTGTTAAGTTTTAACTTAAACATCCAAGCAGAAGACATTGTTGGGAGCAGATCATTGATTGAGCAGTTGGCATGTTTCTGCTGTGTTGTCAGACATTATCCCAGGACGATAACTACCCCACTGTAGTCTAACAAGTAAAGTACATGAATTGAAAATTTAATGCATGTAACAAAATTTTTGCAGAAAATGTCTCMGTTTGTTGTAAATGTACTGCGTTCACATCACTGCAGAATTTCACCATGGATGTTGGAGCTCAGTTTGTTTGTTACAATTATTAATAAACGTTTTTTATTCATTAACAAAATAAAAATGCCTTTTGTTGCACACGCACTATGCAACTTGTTAATCTCAAGAAAGTTCAGCTGATGTGCTGCTTTTTCTGAATTTTTTTAAAAATGTACCTCATATTGTTTTAAAGAAAAATTAAACCTTGTGATTAGGAACTGGCGCTTCCAGCTGCCTATCTTTAGTGCACAGTCCATACTGTATTTATACAGGAAAGATTTTCACAGACAYTTTGCAAAAAGAAGRAATGGCTCATTGATAATCAGARCTGTCAACATTAGGCTACAACTTGCTGCCCTCAGTTGTCAGCTTGTCTCGTGTGGGTTTATTGATATTTCTTTTACTAGTTGGTTTATGTGATTTTTATGCATTTTAGCTTATAATATTTTAAGTATTTTAAAGTGTATTGTTATTTTGTAATTATGTAGTTTTACATTTAATACTTTTACATTTAACATTTTAGAGTGACTTTTACCATCTGTCTGGGGACTGCAGGTGAAAAATAGCCTTCTGGCTAATTCTGGCATATTTACAGAAATGTTATTAATATGCACTGCCCCTGTAATAAATAAAGGTTTCAAAAAAAAAATCTAACAGACTAGTCTGAAAAGGAAGAAGCCCTGAAATGTGTACTTGAATGCAGCTCTGGAGTAAATAAAACCCACTCCAGTGGTTATTCGCCAAGTTTATGAACAAGTATTATAAGACGGTCCTAACACATTATAAGGTACAATATAAATGATGTAAATGTATATTATAAAAAGTATTTTTTAGTATGTAAAGTATAATWCTTAATGTTGATGTTTGGGATAAGTTTTGTATTGGAGTTCAGGAATTACGAGCGTTCCTGAATGCAGCAAACAATCCTAGGCAACCRTTTGTTTGACGTAGCTTTCGGTGACATCATCTGCTTAAAAGTATAAAACCGTGTAGCGGGGTCTTCTATTGTAAACCTTTTTAGGACAAAGTCTTATGTAATGGCGAATGAAACCGAAGGTATCCCGCGGCTGAAGTTGGAGGCTGCAATTGGTTTCAACGGTACGTTTTAAGTTTATTTGCTAAAACTATTCGATAAATTACAGCAGGTAAAATAAGTATTGAACACGTCACCATTTTTCTCAATAAATATATTACTAGAGGTGCTAATGACATGAAATTTTCACCAGATGTCGGTAACAACCCAAGTGATCAACACATGCAAAGAAATCAAACCATAAATGTCCAGAAATGAAGTTATTTGTAATAATGTTAATTGAAAATTTCATGACATTAGCACCTCTAGTAATATAATTACTGAGAAAAATGTTGACGTGTTTAATGCTTATTTTACACGCTGTAGCTTGGTAGGCAGTTGTAGCACAGTCACTTAGAGTTGTAAAATTAATATAAATATTTAAAATTGCAATTCCCATTCAGCGTTTGACCCAACAATTGCCAACAATTTTGTTTAWTTCGCATCAAATTCATTTGAAAGAGCTTGAAAAATAATGATGCAACCATGTTCATATGTCTTGTTTTAAACGTTAAGATTCTGGATTAATTACTGTCCGTGAATTTACACTGAGCAATATGAAAAACTTATAACTCGCCACATTTAAAAAAAAACAACAGCAAAAAAACTACATCTTAAGGTATTTTAAAGCCATTGAAACTCATTGTCTTGTCCAATATGCTACCTCATTATCATCAAGTGTAGTTACCTTTAAATGGTCAAATTGTTACAGCTTCACCATTACTGGGGTTAAACTATGTGCTGATGGCAAATCAGCTGATATTTGGCATTTAGAACATAAACTAAATTTATTAGGATGTTTAAAAAATACATTTGTGCCCACAGGAAACTCACGTGCCCAAAATATATAGATATAAACTTTAAAGTAGGCATTTCAAAAGTGTGCGGGGGCCTTGGCAACGTGAAATACTAATAAAATTAAATGTTACATTTTACAATGGTTTTCTTGTTTTAATAACCTGGTAAACTGGTACAAGYTGAYCATTCTTTCTTCCCAAGTTCACCTTTCACCTCTGTGTCCAGATACCTGCCCTCGTGTCACATAATGGTTTACTTTTTTTAATTAGGATACATTCCTTTTGGCCTGTGGGTTCATCCAGACCAGGAGCACCTGATCTATCCTCTGGGGTCCACAGTGATTCTGAAGAAGATTGCAGATGGCAAACAGGAGTTCCTGCTCGGACACACGAACAACGTTTCCTGCATTTCTGTGTCTAAAAGTGGAACATTCATCGCCTCAGGCCAAGTCAACTTTATGGGCTTTATGGTAGAGAAAACCCAAGTTTCTTCTTATTTGTAAAATTTATTTCACACCAGTCACATTTGTATGTATAAACATAATTTTCTAGGCACCAGTGATTATCTGGAACTACGAGCAAAGAACAATCTATGCCCAGCTGGATCTGCACAAAGCTAAGGTGGAAGCAATTGCATTCTCTCCCAGTGACAAGTACCTGGTGTCGTTAGGAGGTCAGGATGACGGCAGGTAAACAGCACGCTGCTGGACATCACAGAGGAACGTGTGCAACAGATGATGATGTGTGAGCTGTTCACTGTGTGCTCTCAGTGTGGTCGTGTGGAATATCGAGACGAAGCAGCCCGTCTCTAGGAGCCCAGCTTCAGCCTCCGGTCACTGCCTCACAGTGCAATACTCCAACACCAACGACAACATATTTGTTTCAGCTGGGAGGTGAGTCAGTCATCTCTGCTGGCACACCGTCACTAAAGATGGTGCATTTCKGGGCTGACAGAATGTTTCATTTTGTTTCATGCACTTTGGAAATCGCCGTAACCCTGTTGTTGGGGTTTTGTTTTGTGCAGCGGAAATGTGCAAGTCTGGGAATTGGACGTCATGAACAGAAAGACCAGTCCTACAGTGTGTTACACCGGGAAATTAAGGAGGATTGTGAAATGTGTTCAGGTATTGTCAAAACATTCATGAAACCCCAAACATCCTGATATAGGGTGGAGTAGCTGAACTCGTGGTCAATTTTTATTATTAATTATTTATTGTGCACAGATTTCTGAAGATGATGAGTTCATCTTCTGTGGCACTACCACTGGAGACATCCTGAAAATCTGCCTAAAGACAGCAAAGCTGAACCACTGTGGTCCAGATAAAACAAAGTTCAGCGGTGTAAGTCTTCAACTACAGTCTTTTTACACATAACGGAGCAAGATGGAGGTCATTTTAGCAGCTGAGAACTGCTCTGATTGTCAACTAATCCTGACAGAATACCTCCTCAAAAATGCATTTCATTTCATTTCATCCATCCATCCATCCATCCATCCATCCATCCATCCATCCATCCATCCATCCATCCATCCATCCATCCATCCATCCATCCATCATTCTATACATCAGATAAAGAATCACTCTTTTGATGCGCTGTTTTTTAAATGTGGTAATTTATTTTAAGTGATATGATGTATTTAATATACTTGTTTTTTAATCATAGTGTATGATAGAAGTCTGTCTGTCTGTGCAGGACATCAATGTTCTCAGAATGCTCAAATCTGGAGACCTGCTTGTGGGCACTGGATCTGGCACCTTAGCTCTGTGCTCCAGTTCTAACTTCAAAACCCTCCAGTGAGTTTTACACCGGCAACCTTTCTGTTTGCTGATCATTTGTAACTCTCCATATGGTTCAAACGAACATTTTTTTAAAAAGTGCAAATGCACGATCATTTAAAAAAAAACTTATTTCTGTTACTTTGTCTGCAGCTTTAGTAAAACTCAAACGTTTTGATTCGATCGGGAATAGTGTTGTTTTAGTGTGTCTTTTGGTTGCAACATGTTGAAAAGCAGAGATGAAATGTACAAAAAAACAGCAAAACATTTTTACATACAGAACAGCATAGATACAGCTCAAATATATTGAAAATAGAAACATCATTCAAAGTTTAAACAGGTCACAGAAAGTTGGAGTTTACATGAATGAAATCATGTTGTNGAGTCCATGGCAGCAGCTTGAATGTCTCTTTTGGTTGTAACTCTCTTTACACTTCTTACACAGTTCATACATGAAAACATCACCATCCTCCTCCTCTGCACGTTAGGAAACTTCAGCTGGAAAAGGAGGTGACCTCCATCACAGGAAGAGAGGACGGCCAGCTGTTCTTTATTGGCACGGAGGCCGCTCAGATGCACCGCTTCAATTTAAAGGATTTCCAAACTGAACTCATCTCCACCAGCCACCGCTCCGCTGTCAAGGACATCTCCATCCCCACGTATGTTCAAACCAGGACTGTCAGAGACATCTGTCAGAGATGACAACGTGTTTATCTTCTGCTTGATTCTTTTTTGTTTTGATGTTTCAAATCCAAGACCCACCAGAGTATTATAGAAAATTACTTTGCTGAAGCTTAGTCTGATATTTTGCAAACTTTGCAAACTGTCATATAACCACATTTAAATTTGATACGTCTTAGGGAAAACAGTGTTTAAAAATGACTGGATTTATTTCCATTATGGCAGTTATAATACTGAAAGTTAATAACTTTAACTCAGTTGAACTAAGTTTAAAGTTTTGTTTTAGAGCCAATGTTAACTTATTCACATGAGCCTTTTTCTGTCTTGCATTGTGTGTTAGCAAAACATGTGAACTGTTTGCAACATGTTCTGAGGAGGACATCAGACTGTGGGACGTACAAAAGCAAAAAGAGGTGCTGCGTATCACTGTGCCCAACATGACCTGCAATGCCCTGCACATCATGACTGATGGACACAGCTTCATCAGCGGTAAGAGCATCTCATCAGAGATCCGCAGCCCTTTCTCGACGTTTTCAGTCTAAAGGACTGAATCAGATCATTTGATAAAATAAAAAAGATTTTACTTTCTTGCAGGGTGGAATGATGGTAACATTCGCATGTTCACACCGAAAACTGGCCAGCTGATGCTCACGATTGAAAACGCTCACAAAATGGGTGTGACCGCCATCGCTGGCACCAGCGACAGCAGGAGGATTGTGAGTGGAGGAGGAGAGGGACAGGTCAGTTTGTTTTAATGCTGATCCGCCACAGGTAACTTTTTAAAACCACAACGTCTGCGAGAAATAAGAAAGGGTTGCACTTTCTGATGCTGCCACCCTCCAGGTCCTCAGCATGAGGCAATGAGAGAGGCACTAACCATGTCGTACTGTTTACCTATTTGGTCTCTTACAACAAATGAAATCTTAGAACCCATAGTTAGGCTCTACAACAG